TCATTATCTAAGAGAAAAAAAATACCTTTTCCTATTTTCACTCTTCTAACTATTAAGGAGTCTGTAAGCACTGATCTCTCTCAACTATCTGACAATGTGGGAAATGGAAAGACCTTGAATCAAACCAACTTTCAAAAATAAAGTCTGGATTGGACTGGATTCCTACATTCAATCCTGTTATCCAGTCCTCCGTCTCCATCAACTGTAAGACAATCCTATGTGGAAATTTATCAAGCTACACTCAGTAACTGTTTCACTTTTTTTATTTAAGATTCTACATATATTTTCGTTTTTACTGTCAGTAACAAAATGCATGCCCTCAAAAGGGCACACAGTTATGTGAAACAACACATACACTAAGGTTAGCACAGCAAGGTTGACAGGGATCCTTGAAAACTAAACTAGAATTAGATTCTTCCCACTTTTCATCTTCTGCAATGAAAAATTATCTACAAAACATATATCTATTTGTGTGTGTACAGGTGCGGAAGGCCTTCCCCATGACAGGGTAACTGTCATTTCACAGGTGTTTCAAAGCACTAACCACCACTGTTTTCAAGCACACATCCCTCTTTTTTTCTTTTTTTTTTTTTTTAGAGGTCCTGTATTTTGTGGAAACAAATGGCACAACTGCACTTTCTCTAGTTTGAGCTGAGGAAAACCCAAGTGGTGACTTAAGCACTTAAATTAGAAGCAAATGTTTTAAGAAGATTCTCATACATAATGTCCAAAGCTTTGATGAAATTAATGACCCTGTTTCCTTTAATTGATTACTTGAACTAAGTAATGGCAACAGAAATTTAAAAAACATTCTCTCTAAAGGCAATGGACAAGTTACCAGATGTATTTTCAAGTACTGAAAAAAATCTGAAAAACTACCTCTAAGGAAATCCTACCATAATGCAACAAAACTGAAAAACCTGTACACTTCGAACTAAGATCATGTTTCAACAGCAAAATTAAGTAACAGAAGCATTATCACACATACAACCTTAACAGTCTGGAGAACTATATTTAAACCAAATATACTTGGATCTCGTGAACAGTACATGATCTGAAATACAAAATCCTGCATTATTCTAATTAAGTGACTGAGAAAAGAACAGTGCAAAACCAGGTGACATAAAGCAATTATTTTGCTTGTTTTCTGTATTTCAAAACCAGGATGCTAAAGAACAAAAATAGTAAAATCACAGCTATAAGAAACAGCTAAATCAAATTCTCTTCAGTGGTCAAAAAATATTTAAGCGCTGAAGTATCTTGAATAATGTTACCCAGAAACCTAAACAGGCAAACAAGCAGTTTCATAAAATATAACCTAGATTTTTAGGGTTTTTTAGCAATATGTGCAAAAAAAAAAAACAACATAGCTCCATGTAATAAGAAACAAAGTTGTTAAAATTTTTACCAGAAAGCTAAGTAATATGTTGCTTCTGCCCGGCTAAAACCTATGATCCTGCAATATACTGTGTCTCAAGTGCACTTTTCACACCTGACAATAATAATCCTGCTGTTGTTCTTGCAGTAGCCAGCGCTGACAGCAGTCACCAGTCCTTTTAGACAACAGCATCAACAGAAAAAATATATATATATATATCCTAACATCTCTTAACAGCCTCTGTTACCGATCTGGTTACTGATCTTACCATTTCCCGAGAATATTCATACCACTGACATCGACTGTCAATATTTGGAAGTTACGGATAACTATTTGAATTGAGAACTACTACTGGGGTTAAAGTAAAATTCCTTCATTTATCCACTCTCTTAATAGCATGTAAGGAGAAAACACGAAGCACCTTTCCTATGTACTGAAGCCACCAAATGTAATTTTTATTGAAACACACAGCGTAATTTAAACATCTAGCACACCCATGTTTAGAGTGTAATACCACTCCATAGTGAAAGATGTGTTGTACCACCTAACACAGTTTATTCACATAGCCTACGGTATACACAGTCATAGAAAAAACATACAGTGTGTAGCTATAAGCACGTGTATTGGTAAGTCAAGGAAAACAGCATCAACATGTATCACTATGTATCATAATCACACAGCTGCTTTACTTTATTCCTGAACTGCTTTGGTGCCCTCACAAGAATAAAGGAGGGGAAAAAATGAACTTCTGATACAATGTCAAGATCAAACAGGTTAAATAACTTTTGAGTGACACATTGTTAGGAGCGTTCATATTTATTGAAGCATTTCAAAGCTGTGAAATAAGAGTCCTCTCTTTACAAAGTCTAGCAAGCAAATCAGTATCTTCATACATTTATCCTCTAATATACTCAAATACTGGGGTTTTGTATGTGAAGTGATGACAAAACTAGACTAAAGCACCACAGAAGGCCATCATCTCAAAGAAATCAGAGAACACAGAACGTGAAGTAAAAACATTGTCTACCTTTTCCACCTTTCCACCATTGATGTCACTGGGGAGGAATTTCTTGCCAATCGTTCTTAAATCTGTCTGAAATTAATACAGAAGACAAGAAAATATTAACTTAAAATACCCTGTTAAAAAAAATCATCATAAAATAGGAAAAAGTATTTCTTCCATAATGCCAACAGTATTTATAGACTACAAAAAACCACACCACTAACTTAGAGAAAAGCATTTTAAGTTTGCGTGTTTTCACATGCACAAATCCTCCATAAAAGGTGGGGATGATTTTTGCAATTACACCTGGAGTAAAAGCTTACATCGTGTTTCCATTAAAGATGCCTTTTAACTTAAGTGTCTGATTAATTCTTTTTGAAAACGAGGTAGACAACACCATGACATTATTCAGCAACCGTGAAACACGGCCACTGACAACGTTCAACTAAAGAATTCACACAACCAAAGGAACAAATCTCCACAGAAGCACTTTCCTCACCCAACACTGTTTGCACCAGCACATCCATCAGGGTGATGGGTGACAAAAGGATGCACTGGGTGGGTAAAAGGTGCAGCATGTGAAAACAGGAAATGGGATAAAACTAATTAAACTTTTCACAGCAGGTTTTTAGTGCATTTAGATGTGTTAAGGAAAAATAATAAACACAGCGGTGCAGCCTAAAGCATCCATGTTTTCTAAACTCCGCTGCTTGAAATAAGGCTGTTGTTTTAAAACATGCTGGTGCACATTATTTTCTTGTACTGAAGTCGAAAACCCTCCTTATTTATTACAATCATAAACACTTTCAAAAGAATTCCTAAATGTAATTACTATAAGAACTTGCACACTAACTTGCATTTAATATATTCCAATGGACTAATGTTCTGGCATCCTAATCGAGAACTGAGCAGCACCATATTTTACTACCTAAAAATACTGTAAAAAAAGCGTTTTATTCTGTTTTCCAGTGAGAAGCACTGGTACTCTACAGAACAGAAAACTAATTTTAAGGACGCTCTTTTAGAGTATGTATTCTTGAGTATCTACAGAGTGGATAAATGCTCAACCTACTTACTGTTGCACAAGACAGCCATAGAAAGCGATAAGAAAACATATTTGGTTTTCAATCTGAGCCCATCTGAGGGAGCTGATCTGTCATCTGAGAGTTATTTATCTCTGAACAGCACACAGGCTCCTATAAACTGCTCCTGCCTATTCCATATCCATATAATTGACAAGCCTGCAGCAAGGTGCTCTTGCAACCACAGCAGCAGGAAGAGGACTCGGCTTCTACAAACTCTTTGCAAGATCTTACACCAAATAAAAACACTTGAAGGACTGAAGGTACATTTACGTCTATTTCCTACTTAGGTAAGGATTTCATACACACAGAGATTCAAAAAAAAAAAAAAAAAGTCTGGTTAACTTTTTGGTTCCTTCTGCCCAAAACGTGTCTCTAGCAGTCCAGGAAAGAATTTGTAAGAAATAGAATCTAAATTCACTGTTGTCCTGTCATTCAAGCCACTCTACTTTTCCCTACTTACCTAACAGGCAACTTGATCATCTGGACATCAAAACAATTGACTTGACAAAAATATTCTTAGGCAATTAAAGCCAACTTTGGGGTACTTGTGTAACATTACTGGTTTAATTTTTGTTATTATTATCTATCCAACCAACCACAAATACAACACACACATGCACAAATGATGCTAGTACTTATTCCAGCATACAATCACATGCAAGGTAACACCTAGTAGCTTGGAAGTGGTTTCATCTGTTCTTTGCATTTCTGCATTATAATTTTGCTTTCTTTTCAAATTCTTTACATGAAGTGGTGCATGGACTCATACGAGTGATCAACACATGCTTCACAAATTATAGAAATGAGCAGAGGGAATATTCCTCGCAGAGTATCATCTTAAACCAGCAGTGGTTGAACCTCAAAGGTGGACAAAATTCTCTACCAATTCTCATCACATCAGGAAAGAATACTTTTCTACTACATTGTTTTTCTCTTTGGAACCACATGTAGTTATTACAACAGAAGAAGTTTACATAAATCCATACACATTGAGTACCAACTTTAAAACTTCCAAGTATGGATGACTGAAGTATTAAACAAAGAAAATGCAGAATTCTGAAAAGTCTCTCTCATGAATTTGATAGAACAAATTAAAAATAAGCATCAAATACATGTATTAAGTAGTTGCTCTCTTTTCATTGTTACTAAAAGGAAGCAGATTTACTAATGTTTACCAGCAATGTACATACTAGAATCCTGAAAAACAGGACTTCACATCCACACTTTTCTTAGGTCCTTAGAAGTATTAAGGTTTATTGCTTCCAAGCTGTTTCTCTATCCTGTATATTTTTCTATTTATTTGTTGGCAGGAATAAGGACTACTAATTAAGATTTCCACAGTAAATCAAAAAACCTGTTTGTAGCTACTTAAATATGTACACATCACAGGAAAATTCACTATTAGTTTCAATATGCTTTAAGGAATACAATGGCCACAAGTCAAACTGAGTTTTTTCAAACTGGGTTTTTTCATCCTATTGAACTAACATTTTGTAGTACAATTTCACACTCATGCCAGTACACAGCACTTGTTATTTTATTATTGCTTGGACTTTCACTTTATGTTTACATTTCATAAACATATTTTGCTACTACAAATTATGTTCGTTTTTCTCCTGCAGGTTTCACGGTTTAGAACACGTATTAGTTGCAAACCAAATTCACAATTCACATCTGCAAGGAGAGAGAGAGAATTACTCTGTCCTTTACATAAACCACAGATGATGGTAAACTTAATTAGCCACACAAGCCTACTTGAGCCATTAGATGTATCATTTTTAGCATGATTTGTCAGAAAAAAAGTTTTCACAATCATAACTTACATTAAGGGCAACTAGGATTATGTCATTTGTATTAACTTTTTCAGAGGAACTTATGCAAGCTTCAATTCCTTCATCTGAAAGATACCTGTTAAAGGAAAAAAAAATAATATCACAGGATATATCTGTTATGCAAACATTTTTTCTTTAAACAAGTTTATTGTCTTTAGTTTGTATCTTTTGCACTAGTGAAGCATAGCTTTAAAAAAATATTTGGAAAGTTATTTCATGCAGTTTCCTTACACTGAGATGAGATCAAGTAAAAGATTTCACCTTCCATAATTTCTAAACCACTGCCCCCAAGAGAAACAAAATAGCCAAACAAAAAACCCCACACAACCTGTGGCATACTTTCACACATGTACTTGCAAGGAAAAAAACAAAACAAATAAAAAGGCCCCATCCCACACAAAACACAACCACATCAGTTTCTAAAGATCAAAACCACACCGTTAAGCCCTCAAGGACTGGGGCACATCACACTGACAGTCCGTAAAATGTATTCTTGCTTGCCCGGGTTACAAAGAAATTGATAAAAACGAAAGCACATTACAGTATATCCACAGTTAAATACGGTGAAAAAAGTGGAAATCAGAATGGAAAATCTCCTCCACAATCACATTTGGAAATGGCATGTGACCCTCGTGGTGGTCATCCTCGATCAGTGCCCTTCTACAAAAGCTCTGTGAGCATGCAGTAAATATGTTCATCTGAAAACTAGGTAAGTTTTAAACAGATTCAGCTCTTCGATTCAAAACAACTGACCTATTCTAACATCCAAAACCACTTAAAAAAAAAACCAACGTAATTTTTAACTTGAGTGGGCAGAAATTGTGACATTTGTTACTCATTTTTCCTAGTATTTCCTCTTCGAAGCCCCAGTTTTCATTTTTATGTAGCTGGCAATCTGCCTTCTCTGCACAGCTCTTCATTTTTATCTAAATACATCACAGCAATCATTAAATAATTGATACTTCCTAGATATCCAGTCTGAAACACAATACTTGCCCAAATAATATTTAAATAACTACCTACCAAGAAACCACCATTCCCCAAAGAACAAAAGAATCATTTAAGAAATAAAGCTTAATACACATTAAGAAATCTTAAAAATAAATATTCCCGAGTGCTTCAAGAAATACTTCTTTTTAAAGAAAAGAACATCTGCAGTGTAACATACAAAAAAAGGCAAAACATGGTAAGGAAAGTACACTCGACAGGCCTTTCTCATTCTAGCCCAGGTAACATCAACACCACCCTCTCCAGCCCTGCCAGTGTTCCCAGTCCAGGTACCAATCCCAGTTGTGTGCCAGCCCAGACACTTGATGGGATCCAGTTGTTCAAGTTCATAGAATCATAGAATCATAGAACAATTCAGGTTGGAAAAGAGCCTTGGGATCATCAAGTCCAACCATTAACCTTACACTACAAGGTCACCCCTAAACCATATCACCCAACACCACATCTAAGCAACACTTGAACACATCCAGGGATGGCGACTCAACCACCTCC